GAGATCCGTTTGCTCTCTGCCATCTGCATGTGCTGGCAGAGCTGAACGCTAGTAATAAACACTCCTGTGTGAGACAAGTGGGCTTTTTTTGTGTTCTTGTCTATGCTCTAATAGAGTAATTGCTGAATTTATAAATATAAGTTGATTTTACATGTAAAATACCTACAAAAGCTTCAAATTAGCACGTTTTGATTTCAGACTATTTAATGAACATGGTAGTTTCTGTAGCAGTTACGGAGAAAACATCACGTTCCCAGCCAGGCCAAGCCGTGATGACTCAGCTGTCCGTGGTCCTTCAGGCAGAGTTTTCGGCTGACAGATTGGAAGCATCCAAACTCACCTCAACAGCAAGGTCTCCATCTCAGGTCTCCATCTCAGGCAGTACTGTGCATCCCTGTGCTTAAGGGGCGACAGCGACGTTGATGCATTCAAGGTGATAATGTGACAATGAGAGAGGACTCTCATAACAAAAGAGCTCACACCGAGGAGCTTAAGCAACTGAAATGTAAACTCTCACTGTTCTGGAAGCTGTCAGCGCTTTGGTTTCTACCAGGGCTCTGTCTTCAGCAGTGATTAACTTTCCTCTTTTTACAGCCGCGACCTTTCTCTGTGTGTGTGTGGAGATCGGGAGGACAGCTCTGGTCCTCCTCCAAGGACTCAAACCAAATCACCAATGTAAAGAATGAGAAGCAGAAGCTCAGTTAATGGTTACTTGTCGTGACTGTACAGTGTTGGTATTTTGTGTAAAATTTAAAACTGAGTAATAAAGTACAAAGTGCAGAGCGTGCTATTTTTGTTGGACAAATGAAGTTTTAGTTCACACCTAAGGTAGAATATTGCCTCTGGAGAAATTCTTTTAAATTCATTTATTCTCTATGAATTTTTATTCATAGTTGTTGAACTGAAACATAGTATCCACTACTAATTTGGTTACTTTCTTGTATTGTTATTTTTAAGTTTTCTAACACACACACACACACACACACATACACACACACACACACACACACACACACACACACACACACACACACAAAATGTTAGCCAAGACAGAAAATCTTCCCTGTATTTCTTTAGCAGATTTTTAAAATTTCACTTAATGATTATAATTAGATATAACTATCCCTAAATGACAAACCCCATTTGAATGTTTTCATCACTGGAGAGGAAAATAGAAAAATAAAATCTAAGCAAGACACTCTCTTAAGACCCTGAGGCCTCAGGTTTGTCTGAGTTGAGCTTGTCTGCAGAAAGTGGGTAGGCCCCTGCTCTGATAGATGTGGAGTTTGGGGACTGTGAACAAATCCACTCCTACCTAACCAGGGCTCATTTTCATTGGGTTCGGTTTTGGCCTCTTCTACCCCCATCAAACGCATTGAGCTCATAACTATGGCCTACTGGGACTTTGGCCTAAAGGTCCCAGCCATAGTCACCTCAGCTGCCAGCCCTTGGTTACCTCTTAATCCTAGCAGTGATGTCTATTCTCAGGGAAATGAACTCAAGGAAAAGACAGCAAGGACCTTAGAGACAGAGTCAAAGGATGCTGGCTGGGGGCCTTGAAGACCCCACATGCAGATCTTGGTCAGCAGGACTATGAATGGGTTCTTTTCCTTGGGTCTGCAGCTGTTCACAAAGGAGAATGGCTCAGTAGTCCCCCAGTGTTAGGGGACTGACAGGCAGGATAGGCCTGCTAGTAGACACGACTTACCTGTAAAACTGAGTTACGCAAGATGTATTTTGCATAGTTTTCTATTTACTAGCTCCCTAGATGGTCTACCATGGATCTTAAGTGCCAGATCCTGGAACTACCATAAAACAACAACATCAACAAAACATACCGAAGATTTTCTAACCTTTATCTTGATTATCTATCTAAGGGGCTCTTTTTTCTGGCCTACAATAGCAGTTGGAACGACATAAACTAAAGTCAAAATTTTACACAAGTTTTAAAAGAAAAACATCCTCTTCCTCCTCCTCCTCTTCCTTCTTTTGGTATTTGGACCAAAACAACCTGAAGATAAACTCAGCCTTCAAGTACCTTGTATTTCTGCATCTACGTCTCTGCATTTGACAGCTGCAAACGTGTGTCCATGTTTGTATGTGTGCTTGCATTTATATGTGTGTGTGTGCTCCGGGGCACTCTCAGGTATGTTTGTATCCTTGACTCGAAGAAGTCATATTGAGAGTGCTTTGTTTTGAATACTGATGCCTCATCTGGGTGATATTTTTTTCTTCTTCTCTTAAAGGTGTCAGCAGAAGCTGCGAGAAGGTACACATCAGAGAATATAACATCCCCTGAGGGAGTTTTCCAAGGCTCACACTTGAGGCGCCAGACTCCCATATTTCAGAGTGGGTACTTGACAAGCTTTGCTACCTGATTAAACCTGCATGTGTTTCGTTCTGGCTTATTACTGTCTGAGGCACTGTGTTGTGAAATGAAAATTACTGGCATTTCCCTGCCAAACTCAGTGATTCAGAGAATTATGAATTAGGATTCTTTAATTATGGAGATCAGCACCTGATAGGCTAATTTCAAAAGCAAAGCTAACCACATATGCCCAATTTGTTTTTAACTAATTCTATGGAATTACATCCCATTTCAAGGGTCTTATTGGTCCCATACTAATACACGGCTTCATAACAAGGAAACAAGGGACAATAAACCAAGTTCTTTGTGGGGAGTCACCTGAGTCAGATAATGGGAAAGTGAGGTTTTTAATGCAATAAAATTAAAACTGGGATGCTTCCTTTAGGGTGTTCCTTTAGTAAACGGTTATTTGGTATTATTATTCTATACAATCCTTCAAAAATATTAAGCTGCAAAAAATAGATAGTTTAAATTGAGAGCAATTTTTTAAAAAAAAAATTGATTTGTGGGGATAAAAATATAGAAGACTGTTTTAAGGCCAGATTATTTTCTTTGACTGTCATTGATGTTTAAATCTTTGAAGAAATTGCTGTGTGATGTCTAGTGTTTATTGTATATGTGACTGTTTCATGGTTAATAGACACTGAACAGCTGCAGCAGTAACTCGGTGCTACCTAGACCACCAAGGCAGTTTCCTTAACAGCCCTGGATGCTGAGACAGAGCCCAGGCTTGAAACACTGAGGCTATTTAGTTTTAAAGGCTGTATCATTACACTTATTTGACTTTTTTCATTATTTAAAGCAAGTATGCAAATAGTAGTAATTTTTAAAATATACAGAAAATAGAGTCAAAATAAAAATATTTGCCTCCCTCTGCCTCCATCATCTGAAGACTATGAATAGTGTCCGAATCTAGTTCCCCTTGTGGCGCTCTTATATTCTGTCTAAGATACCTCTATACTTTTTTTAAATGCCTTTATTGGCTTTTTTAACTTTATTTTATGTGCATTAGTGTAAAAGAGTCAGAGTCTCTGGAACTGGAGTTACAGACAGTTGTGAGCTACCATGTGTGTGCTGGGAATTGAACCTGGATCCTCTGGAAGAACAGTCAGTGCTCTGAACCACTGAGCCATCTCTCCCAGGCCCTGCCTCTATACTCTTTAAGAAAGATGAGGGGTTTTTTTTTAAGGTCTGAATACCATCATACAGTTTTCTAGGATCCCCCTAAGAAGCAACACACCTCTGTGCTTTTCAACCTTGCTTCCAAGGGAATACACTTTCTGAGTACTTGTCTATGTGATGTTCAAATAGAGTTCCACAACACCAGTGATGCCTGTGTTCAGCCATCGTGAACACAAGCATGGAAATACTATGAACAAACTGCAGGCCTGTCCTTTAGAAATACTTTACATGAGGTTCAGCAATGACTTTCCCTAGAGAATTCTCAAGATACTGACCCCCCCACCCCACCCCCATCATCCCTTCCAGGAAACTCACTGTCTAATGCACTATGCATGGATGCTTTGCCCACAAATCACATAGCCAAGGACATATGTCTAACCTCCAGTAAGCTGGGGGACCTCTTTGGTATTTGGGTGCCCTATAACCCAATGTTTTGATTCTATGCCACTGTGTAAATTCATTCCAGGGAAGTTCTCCTTATATAACGTTGTAGCACTAAACTGACATCACTTTTTAAGGTGGCATCCAAGCAAAGCTCCTTACAGAGTAAAGAGAAAGCCTACAAAATAAGATAAAATATATCAAAACCATGTGTCTCATTAGGAACTAATATCCAAACTGTATATAAGAACTCAAGTAACTCACAAGATAACAATAACTCAATTCTGACACCAGGAGACCATCATAAATGGTAAAGAAAAGAATGTGGAATAAAATGCTGTGGTCATCTTCATTTCTAAATGCTAGTTTATTTGTTTTGCTGATATGAATCCCCTAAGTTTCCTATCATGTATGAACACACTGATATGCAAAAGGAATACTATTTTTGTTTTTGGTTTTTTGAGACAAGGTTTCTCTGTGTAGTTTTGGTGCCTGTCCTGGATCTTGCTCTGTAGACCAGCTTGGCCTCGAACTCACAGCCTGGCTCTGCTTCCCAAGTGCTGGGATTAAAGGCGTGCACCACCGCGGCCTGGCTGAATGCTATCTTTTTAAATCGTCATTTTTGTTCCCCTATTTGGAGGCACAAACATTCTTGGATTCGAGCACTTTAAAACTGTGGTTTCAGCTGTGCCCTACCCACCAGTAAAATGTAAGATTCTGTGAGATCCATTCAAACTCTTTGCCAAAGATTTTCTTCTAGTCTGCAGGTTTCCTCCACTCCGCTGATGGTTTTCTCTGCTGTACAGCAGCTTTTTAATTTCATGGAATCCCAGTTTTCCATCGTTGGGCTTATTTCTGTGATTCTAGAATCTTTTTCAGAAAATTCTTGCCCATTTAAATGCCTTGAAGTATATTCCTATAGGCATATACTTCTCTCCTTCCTTCCTTCCTTCCTTCCTTCCTTCCTTCCTTCCTTCCTTCCTCCCTCCCTCCCTCCCCCCCCTCTCTCTCTTCCTTTTTTTTGTGTATGTGGGGGTGTTTGTTTTTTGGAGACAGGGTCTTACTATATTGTGGTATTGTGTCCCTCAAAATATTGTGCATCCTAATAAACTTATCTGGGGTCAGAGACAGAATAGCCACTAGATTCAAAGGCTAGAAAATGGTGACATTCACACCTTTAATCCTAGGATTCCAGAGGCAGAAATCGATGTGTTCAAGGATACAGCCAAGCATAGTGACTCATGCCTTTAATCCCCCAGAAAGCGAGCCTTTAATCCCAGGGAGTGGTGGTAGAAAGCGGAAAGGTATATAAGGCGTGAGGACCAGAAACTAGAAGCATTTGGCTGGTTAAGCATTTTGGCTGGTTAAGTGTTCAGGCTTTCGAGCAGCAGTTCAGCTGAGAGCCATTCGGATATGAGGACACAGAGGCTTCCAGTCTGAGGAAACAAGACCAGTTGAGAAGTTGGATAGGTGAGGTTAGCTGTGGCTTGTTCTGTCTCTCTGAACTTCCAGCATTCACCCCAATAATTGGCCTGAGGTTTGATTTTATTAATAAGACCTTTTAAGATTCCTGCTACACTATGTATCTCTGGCTTTCCTGGAACTCACCCTATAGACCAGGCTGGCCTCAAACTCACGAAGATCTGCCTGCCTCTGCCTCCCTAATGCTGGGATTATAGGTGTGTGTCACCATACCTGGCCTTCCTCTAGGCAGTTTCACAGCTTCAGGTTTTATATGTGTTCATGTGTGTGCATGGTGGGGCATGGGTCATGAAACTAAGAAAGGAACCATGGAGGGTGAAAGGGAATCGAAGGCAGGGATGGAAAAAAAAAAAAAGCTCCTAGAACATTTGACATTTGAAAGCAAAGTGGGGTGGCTGTGGAGAAGAGGAGGAGGACCAGCAGAAGGACTTGAGGGGGCAAGGAAGGGAGCAGGAGAGCGGAGGGGAAGGCAGGTCAGTGGGAACAAAGTCTGTACAAAAATGCCATCCTGAGGCACATTACTTTGTATGCTAACTTTTGAAAAGCTAATTAAAGAAACCTTTTAGTATTGCAACTTTGGAGGTATCTTTGAGTTTGATGAAGCCTTTCTCAGCTCTTGAGTGAGTTCATCTGGAGGGCCTAGGGTCTTGGAAAACTTGGTAGCCGACTGAGCCACACCGAACCCTTGGTTTTTAGGTTCTTGTCTCATAATTGAAGAATGAAATCCAGGAAGCATGGAGGACAAGTCTTAGGAGATGTCTACTACAGATTAAGCTAAAAAGCAAGAGAAGACAGAGCTCTTCTGTATCCAGTAGATGCAGTCCCTGAGATGTATACAGTAGGCACAGTCCCCGGGGATGGGGTGCCATTGAGTTGTTAGTCTTGAAGCTGGCAGAAGCTGGGCGAGGGATGGGGACAAGGGGTGAGCTGGTCATCACAGTTGGCCCAGATGTCAGATGTCCGCTCTCAGTTTCAGCCAGGTTATCACATACAACATCTAAGCAAAGGGTAAGGGATCCAAGGAACCAGGGAGCAGACTCACTTTTAGTGTTGTTTGTGCTTGTCTGTGTGGTGTTTTTGTTTTGGAGTAGTTGGATTATATCTTTTTCCTCTCTCTCTCTCTCTCTCTCTCTCTCTCTCTCTCTCTCTCTCTCTCTCTCTCTCTCTCTGTCTGACAGGGGCTACCTATGTATTCCAGGCTGACCTCCAACTCCAGCTATTCCTGCCTCAGTTGCCTAAGTACCAGCCTTAAAGGTATGTCCCATCATACCCAGCCAAAATCTGAGCCTTTATAGTTATAAATGCAAGGATATAGAAAGCAGAACTTTTTACCTCTTACACAACCAATATTTATTTTCATTACCTAATGCTAATTTTGAGTTATCCATTTAAACCATTTTATTATGTTAATTTCAAAAATTTTTTGGTTGGGAGGGGACATTCTTATAAAATGGAAACTGTGGGTGGCCTAACCGAATATGCCTTATGAAAAAGATAAACAAAATGTTAAAACAATGAGCAGCTCTTACCTTCCAAGTGCCTTACTTAATCCTTGGAAATGGGAGACTGTTTTAAGGATGTTGCATCAACACTTAAAAGCCACGTGGGTACCCTGTTAATACAATGGAACAGTGATTCAAGAGAGCTAATGGTTCTTTTGCAAAGTGCTTTACTTATTCCTGGGGGAGGCGGAGAAGTCATAAAGAAATTCTGGCTCAGATACTTGTGGGTTTACAGCTGCCACATCCAGGAAAGTCAAAGTGAAGTTAAACCTTATAAAGAATCTTGCCAGTGTGCTTTATTTAGTCCTAATTGTGGGTTGAGAAACTGAGGTCCCTGAGAATAGACTTGTACTTGCTCTAAAACACCCATCATTAAAACTAATCAAATCCAGCATTAAAAACTAGATTTCACATGAATGTTGCATGTTTCTTTAAAAAAAAAAAAATCAAAGGGTGTTCAGTTTTGTTCACATGCTCCGAATACTGGCTAACATACTAACCCGAGATATTTGGACACCTTGGCTTGATTTGTAGAGTGTTTTGAAGTTTAGCTCATCACTCCTTTCTCAGTAACATGCAGTTGGGGTTCAGAAAGGCGAGCAGCTTTGAGAGTCCATCATCACATTTATTTTTTCACTAAGCTGTAAGAAGCATATCCACTTCTCTAGTTCCTGGCCCAGATTCAGGATGTAAAATCCATGGCTTTCCAAACATCTGTGAATGTCAGCAAGATCCAAATCTGCTTCAAGAGTTCTATGTTTTTGTCTGAAGAATCGTGTTTTCCCTACCAAGCGATGACCCAAGATTTGCTTCAGCTATCATACCTTCATTTTAAAAGTGATCTCTCCAGGCCCTTTGCTGGAGTAGTTGGGGAAAGCTTGGGTGGTAAAGCCTAACTGCAAGGTTATTGATGCTTAGAAGAAGGAAGTGTTTGATTAGTGGGGGTCATTGAGAGAGACTGTGTTAGGTTTTTTTTTTTATTGCTGTGAAGAGACAATACTATGACCACGGCAACTCTTATAAGGAAACATTTCATTGGAGCTCACTTACAGTTCAGAGGTTCAGTCCATTATCTTCATGACGAGGAGCATGGCAGCATGCAGGTAGACGTGATGCTGGAGCTGAGAGTTCTACATCTTGACTCAGAGGCAACAGGAAGTCAACTGACTGTCACAGTGAGGGAAGCTTGAGAAAACAGACCTCAAAGCCCGCCCCCACAGTGACACACTTCCTCCAACAAGGCCACACCTCCTCATAGTGCTGCTCCCTTTGGGGGCCGTTTTCTTTCAAACTACCACAGACCAGAAAGGCACGTAACTGTGTACCACTGGTAGTAATGGAGTCCTCTGGCTCATTGGTGTACCAATGATCAGGGAGACTCTCCCATGAGGACGATAAAACACCAAGAGACCTGTGTTGGACAGAGATGTCGATGAATCCTCTCAGACTCACTTGGAGTTTCATGAATACTGTGCGCTCAGCTTTTCATTGCTGTAACACAGTGTCTGAATAATCTGTTTGCAAAGGGAAAAGGTTCATTGTGACCCACAGTGTTTCCCCCCAGATTTCCTTACTTTTATTTTTGTGTTTGTGTGTGTGCCTGAGTTCGTATATACCAGGTGCATGCAATGCCTGAGGAACCCAGATAAAAGCACTGGATTGCCCTGGAACCAGAGTTACAGATGGTGATAGCTTTCCTGTACCTGAACCATGAACCTGAACCCAGGTCCTCTGCAAGAGCAGTGAGTGCTCTTAACCACTGAGCTGTCTCTGCAAGCTCTGTGACTGTTTTATGAGTTCCAGTCCATGGCCAGTTGGCCTGCTGCTTTAGGCAGTACATCATGGTTGCCCCTCTTCTACTGCCTCCTAAGAGCACCTCTTGGAAAACCAGTCCTCTAGGACACGGTGCTTTGAGGAATACTGAAGACCCAAATTATAGCATATACATAGTCTCATGTCATATTTGATGTTTGTTAAATGGGGCCCTTTAAAACACCAAAATGAATTTGCTATTTCTCAGGCTAAGCTCTCAGTTGGTGATCAGGAAAAGTTGTACTCTCAATTTCTTCTCTACCTAAAAGTGACACATTTAGTAGCATTAATCTCTCTCTCTCTCTCTCTCTCTCTCTCTCTCTCTCTCTCTCTCTCTCTCTCTCTCTCTTCATATCTCCCTTGTTTATTACCAACAGCTAATGTGTGCAGCAGAGAGAGTTGCACATTGTACCATGAAGCCAACCATGTCAAGTGTGGGACCTTCCTGAACGTCAGTTTCCTCCCGTGACATCGATCATGGTGTCTATTTCAGATGTCTGCTAACTGCTACACTACATAGTCCAATACAGAGCTTTTAACCTAGTTCTGAAATGCAGCTAAGATTTAATTTTTAAAAATATAACATTGATTAAGTGTTTAGTATTTGGCAGGTCAACTTCTAAACACTTTATACATCTTAACTCAGTTAGTACTACCCTTCCTCAATCTTACAGACAAGGAAGAAAAGCTACTCGTTTGTTGTAAGTCCAAAGGATGAATTAACAAACTAATACCAAATTTTAGATGTAGAAGTAAGGCAAGTGACACTTGAAATATTACCTTTATTATTGGTAAAGGCAATTAGAAAAAAATATCCCTAGATCTACAACCTTGCTAGCATTTATCCCAGGATACAATGTGTCCTTCCTTCTGTAGACATCACCAGACCATCATCACAGTTTTCTCAGAGAGCAAGCAGGCTGTTTATCACAGGCAGCAGACATCTGCCTTGCAGGAAGTCGAAGCTGAAAACAGAGCCAAGAATAACGAACTGGGCATGTGCAGTTCCTCTCAAGGCTCCTCTGTCACACAGTCCCTCCTCATGTGGGGAGAAAAAACATAATGAGGAGGAGAGGAAATAGACACTAGGTGAATAAAAGTATCATAATATGGAAAACTGTATCCAGAGTCTAAGAGTTTCTCCAAATATCATTGCCAACACCATCGATGTCATAACTGACATCATCATTGTCGTCCTCAGGTCAAGATCCATTTCTTGATATCTAGACATGTAGATCTAGACATGTAGATCTAGACTTGTAGAAGTAAGTGAATCTAGACCTAAAATCATGTACATTGTGAGGCTTACAGTCCTTAGTTATGAGTGCTTCTTTTCAAATGTACAGCTAACTTAAAGGAAGTTTACAGGTGATGTGTAACACAAAGCACATGGAGTGATTTAGTCCATGGTACCTGTGGGAAAGCAGAGAAAGGAGGGAGGTGTGCCTGGGGTAGGTTGCTCCGCTATACAAGACTGGTTCCCAGGTCACATACAGGACACATACAGTTAGGACACATACAGAAGTTCCAAGAAAGACTGATAGAAAAATAATTACAAAGAGTTTGAATTTGTAGTAGGTCTAACTTGAAAGACTGTAGTCACAAGACAAAGGACTTTGGAAGTTGTTTTTATGTTTATTATTTGTGCTGTTCCAGGTACGTTTGTAGATGGTACTATTTTAAGGTAATAGTCCTGATTTCTTAACTATGCTTTATGCTGGAGCACTTTGTAGCAATAACAGGAATAATATAACTCTAATGTTGAACATCTGCCTTACAAGGAAAATGGCAAATGTCACCAAACGATACACATGGTTATTATTTTTCCAAATCCTACAATTAGTACAAACATATGTACTCTTGATTGAATCATGTTCACAAAATTGAAAATCAGAGCACTGACAAGTACAAACACTCAAATCATGTATAACAGTTTTATGTTATAAGAAAGCAAAACACAGTGGTAACAGAACAGTCTCCATTTGCCATACTTAATTATACTGGCAAGGGGATCAGACTGAATTTGGCGAATTAGGTGATTAATTATAGCACCAGTTTCTATCTCCTGTGTGTGCTGATTGTGCTACACTTTTCTGCGCATCATCTCTAGTCTTCAAGCCCCAGAGAGAGCATCACACTAGTGTTTGGGCTGAAGAAACTATACGTAGGCAGTTGTCTGTGGCCATACAGTTTTAACAACTGCACACACTCCAGAATCCAAGACTCTCTGGCTCCAAGAATTCATGCTATTTCTCTTTAGGCTTCACACTGTGTACGGAAGACTTTGCTTCTTTTAATCTCTCACTATTCCCAGAGCCTTGATCTGAACTCAGAAAAGAAATGAACTACCTGGATAATGAATCTTATTCTTGTCTTTTTCTCTCAAACAAATCCTTAAATCCACATGTCAGGATGGCACCATAACCTGCACTAAAACATATTAATAATGATAATAGGAGTCTTAGTCACTGTTCTATTGCTGTGAAGAGACACCATGACCAAGCAGCTGTTATGAAAGAAAGCATTGAATTGGGGGGCTTGCTTACAGTTTCAGAGTCCATTATCATCACGGCAAGGGATGAGACCGCATGAAGACAGGCTGAGAGCTACATCCTGATCCTTTGGTAGAAAAAGCAACACTGAGCCTGGGGTGGGCTTTTGAAACCTCAAAGCCCAAGGTGACACACTCTCTCCAACAAGGCCACACCTCCTAATCTTTCTTAAATAGTGCCACTCCCTGATGACTAAGTAGTCAAACGTATAGGTCAGTGGGGGAGGGGCATTCTTACCCAAACCACTACAATAGGGGAAAATACAAGAAACAAAAATGCTTGAATAATTCAAAAGAAGACAAGAATGAAATTAAAATCAACAAAGAGGGTGTTTAATAAATATAAAACAAATGAATGGAAAATGTAGGATCACTATACGGGCAATTATATTTAATATTTAATAGTAATATTAAAAATAAAGACAATTGGATTAGAATTTCAATATTCTACCTACCTATTCTCTTTCAATGGTCTTTATCAGTAAGAAAACTACTCTTCACTCTTTTTCCACATTTTTCTAGGCAGGATGTAGCTAATCAGATGTACACCAAAACCAAAGAGGAATGTGAGAAGCACTACATGAAGCATTTTATCAATTATTTTTATTCTTCCCTCTTCTCTGTGTTTTAGAAGTGAAAATTTGAGGCTCGGAGCATAAATAAAATTGCCACAAATACAGCCAATAATTCACCACGCCAAGATCTGAGTTCTAGAATTCTCTCTGTGGTGATTAATACCGACTCAGCACAGAGGAGGTGCTGAAACTTGGCAGGCACTTGCCAGTGGTAGGTGATGGGGAAAGCCAGGCCCAGCTGGGGAGTTCAGGATGGTAGAGGCGCCAACATCCGGAGGAACAGCCGCTGTGGGAACCGGCGGTACTTTGAACGTGTAAAGGAAGGAGCAACATCGAAGGCCACACACTTGTACTTGAACCAATGCAGGAAAACTCTCACGGGGACGGCAGCTCTGGTTAAGACCAGAAAGAATGCACGACTGAGTCTGCTGGACTTGGGCTTGGCTGAAAGGTGCCAGAAGATAAGAGAGGAAAGGGTGGTGTAGGCCGAGGAAGGAGGCTGTGATGGTGGGAACTGGGGGGGTCTAGGGAGAGCAAGTACGGGAATAGAGGCCAGGCACTTGCCCGAGAACAGGTATTCGGGGACCAGAGAGGGAAAGATCTAGAAGGATGCATCGGAGAGTGTGATGGAGGGCCAGGCAGTGTTTACAAGGTCTCCTAGAAATAACCTAGGCGCAAAGCTGAAGTAAGTGAAATTGATTGATTCCCTACGGTGACATTTGGGGAGAAAGATCCAGACTGTGGGCTTCAACTCAGTCCTCAGGTTACCCGAGTCACCGTTTGCATATAAAACTTTGATCAAAGATCATTTTTGAAAACTATTAGATTCCTCCAGGTAACAGATTGCTTTCTCTGAATCATTCCAATTTTTGTTGTTGTTGTTCTAAAATGGAGAGGAGGAAAATAGTTAAAATTAGCCGCCTTTTTATAATGCACTTGCTGAAACCAATTAGTAATTATTTTTTAACATAGCAGTTGGTGTGAGAGTGGTGATAATGTATTTACAATATAAACTTAGCATCATTAATGAGATGGTTATTTCTACATGAAAGTGAGACTGTTGGAAGCTGCTCCCGTGATGACACAGAGAGGCAGACCCTTTAAGACTCTTGAGAAATGACCCTGCAGTTATAATGTGTGGCATGTCATGTCCTTGAAGAGAAATGATGAGGGCAGTTTTTCAAGACCTTCTATTTTTAAAAAAATAAATAA